GGGTCCTTTGTTGTTAAAAGCCACAACGACAAAATTGATCGCTCAACCGCAACAAACGAAGCAACTGGTGGGTATTGCTGTATCGTCGAAGCAAACCGCATTGACGGCAAAGAAGCAAGAATCGTCGAAACAGCCAACTGTACAAACGAAACAGCAACAAGTTAAACCAAATCCACAGAAAAAGCCCGAGACCGAACCCATACGATTAAACATACGGAAAACTTTAACGGAATTGTTGTCTAGTCGAATAAAGGAAACCGAAGATTTGAAACTGACCGACGAAGAGATAGCGGATCTGGCTCACAACATCGAATTAGAGTTGTACAAGTGTTTCAAAGATACCGGTGCAAAGTACAAAGCCAAATACAGAAGTCTGGTATTCAATATAAAAGATACGAAGAATCTAACGTTGTTCCGAAAGATCGCCGATAAATCGTTGACACCGGACGCAGTGGTGAGGTTGAGTCCCGACGAAATGGCTAGTCAAGAACTGGCCGAATGGAGAGAAAAGGAAACAAAGCATCAGTTAGAAATGATCAAAAAAAACGAATTAGATCTAATGGCTCAAGCTAAGTCGATCGTCGTGAAAACGCACAAAGGTGAGCAGATAATCGAAAATGACGGCGGTATCGATCACGTCGATCCAAAAACTCCCGTACAAGATATCGTGACTGCGTTGAACAGCGCCGATATAAGTATAAGTTCGACGGTGGACGACGGTGGGGAGAAAGATTCAGAGAAGGGGATTCTACTCGACGAGGAGAAGTCGAAAGGGAAGGAGGATGGCTCGAAAAAATCGAGGAACTTTGACGATAAGAAGCGAAAGGACAAGGACAAGGACAAGGACAAGGATAGAGGCGGCAGGGAGAAGGAGAAGGAGAAGGAGCGAGACAAGGAAAAAGAAAGGGGAAGGGAGAGAGAGAGCAGCAATCGCGGTTCAAAGGGCGCGAGCGAGAGACGGGAGAGGAGCGTCAGTAGGAGCAGACACAAACACGGTAGTAACAGAAATAACAACGACAGTAAAAGGGAACGGAGTAAAACTAGAGAAAAGAGCAGAGAGAAGAAGTCTCGAGGTAAAGAAGGGAAACACGAACGAGAGAAAGAACGGGATCGCGAAAGAGATCGAGAACGATCGAGAATCCGAGATCGGGAGAAATTGAAGGTGCGCGAAAGAAGCGGTAGAGGAGAAAAAATTAAGCAAAAGGAGAAGGACAGAGGAG